TACGCTGGGATCATGCGTTCTATCTGCGCTGCTTCCCCTAAATGCCGCAGTTGTATCTGGTTTCATGATCTATGCAACATCTCATTGTTGTTATCGTCTGATATGCTTTTGGCAGATTTGCGATTGGTCGTACAACCAGCAGTACGTTTTTGGTGGCATCGTACTGGCACTGGCTTCAGGCAATTTGTTAGCCGTAGGAATCAATTTGAGAAACTTATGGAGGGGCATGATTTCCTTACGGGATATTTGGTTCTGCTCTTAATGCAATCCACTTAACAAGAAAACGGACTACAACCACGGATATGGTAATTTATAACGAACACAGAAATGCTTAACAAGCTATGGTATTAGGTCATCGGTTACTGTAGGCACAAGATTTGGACAGTGGGTGTCTCGATTTGTAAACGGCGAAAATAGTGAACAGCTCATATGTGGATTAGGTATGTGTCAGTGCCCCATTTATTCGGCATATTCGTTTGATGGTTGAGGATTTTGGTTACCAGTGCAGATAGTGACCCAAGTTAGATAGATTGGTCTATTCAACTAATATAAATGATACGCTTACGGCTGATCAAATCTGTCGCACGCAATATTTAAATGACCATTCGGTTAGAAAAATGCTTGGAATTACTCGGGCATTGTTAGCCCTCAGATATTATTACGAGCGAGAACACATACGAAACCTGCTAATTACCATAATACGGTAAACGTTAGAAGCGGCTTGAACCAATGTTGAGGAGACCTACTAGGAGTGAAGCGCAGGTATGCAAACACAGGTATCAATGTAGCAGCGGGACCCACCGAGAAAGGGCAAATGAACGGTATGTGTAATCAGTATAACAAATGGATGATTCGAAGATTGAAATGAAAGACAAAGTCCAGCCTCACAAATCACAGCAAGTGTAGATATTTCGCGTTCACAATTGAACTCATGGTTTCATAACCGATATTACTTCATGAACTTCTGGAACCATGCAACGGTTTCGTTAAGCTATGGACAGCATCAACAAGGTATGCGCCTGCATAAAGGAGACAAATAAGCGTACCAAGTTAATGACCTGTAGATGCGTCAGCAATTCTGCTTTAACAGATGCTCAGTTACGGCTTCATATGATGACATTCCAAATTGCGCTTTTTCATACTGCTTACTCGATATCCCTTAGGGTATGAGCAATACTCTGCAAGTATAGAAGATCAAAGTCAACAAATCTCTTAATGTCTACGTAGCAAATCAGTTATATTTCTACTCTATTTAGTAGCAGTGATCATACTATTGATGTTTACCGGCTGTCTTCACCTAGTCTATTAATGGATCACCGTTTTTACTGACCATCTTGACTTCGACAAGCTACAAGAGCTTTAATGATAATTGGATCAACCTCCCCAGTGAATTCGCCATCAATAATCTGATTACCACTAAAGTTGACCTGCTCCAACAATGCCAACTGCCATATAGTAATAACTTGATTCAATGGGATGTCGACCCTATTCTGTGGCAGTACTCTGCACTCTGAGGACGCAAAACACATGCTGCAACGTGTAGCGCTTCCCTTCAGCCCAATTAATAGAACACAGATGGCACCGGCTGCGACCAGATGATGTACTCCAGGTCTGTTAGTTGAATTTATTTAAAAAATTATAAACAAAGCTTATAAGACGGAGACATCTGTGACTGTCTCGACCACACATTCAGTACACCGCCACTTGTCGTGTGGAACTCAATATGCAACATGTCGTAGAACCTTATCCAGACTGAGGAATCGCAAAGGGCAAACTTTAGAATAAAAAGCACTGTCCGACGTAAGTCCTTCAAACATACACCATCAAATAGGCCGAAGATTAAACAAGATTCCGAAAATTCTTGATAGTCTGTATGAGGGACGACTTTCCAGCAAACGTTAAAGCCTCCATATATGTTCCACACAACATCTACCGGGAAGCAATGTGTCCTGAATTTTACAGATGCTATTGTCAGAACAAAATCCTGCGCATAGGCTATGTAGACGCTGAACTTAAATGTGATGCCTTGATGACCTACCCATAAGTCACTGAGTGTTCTGACTGCATCTTAGACGAGCCAAGTGTATAACGGAATGGTGCGACTCCTAGTTGGATATACGGAGTTGACACAGAACGGTACACCACGCGTATAACGGACTGTCACGACCCTAGTTGAAGGAACGAATTCGGGACAGAATGATACACCGAACGGATAAGGTAACGATAGAATTCGAATTCGCATTTGCATAGACTTAGACGCAACGCGGGCCTACACGCACGTTGAACGGGTTTCTAATCGGACGCAGACTTCGGATAGGACTACCCAACCCAGAAGGAGTAGAACAATGACAGGCCTTTCGTCCCGGGTATTTTTACTAGCCAGTCTAAGGCGATTACAACGCAGCCCAGGTTTGTTTATATACCACGATTGTAGAAGGATTTGCGCAACCAACTCCTGGTAGCAAAGCAAGTGAATTGGCACTAGGTAAATATGCCACCGGAACACATCGAATAGTAAATGTTGGTAGATGCGATGGCTGAAAGGGAAATGAATGTTTCTTTGATAAAAAGCTGAAATGTTCACGTTGCGGAATGTTGGGTGGCAACTGCAATGTTTTCTTAGGCACAAAGATAATGTTTTAGGTTGTGGAGTTTGACCGGAAACAGGCGCCAAAGCGGATCGAACATGTGCACTCCTCCACTGCGTGTCTCAGCGACCTACGTAGCTTCAAGCTTACGGTCTTTTGTGGAGGTTGGGTCCCCATTACACTGTGCTAATTTTAATACAAAGGGGCTAGTTGAAATCTGCCAATATAAACAGACCTCGTCAGCACCCTAGTAGTTTGGAATGGTGCGGTCATAGAAGCCGCCAATAAATCCCATTCATCCTTCTGAACACATTGTGGACGTTCGTCTGGAATATACGATATATTGATTCTAATAAAGCAAATTCATTTCAATTAAACTGTTTGTTATTCATTAGCTTAGCTACAATGCATGGAACACATTCTCGGATTATTATTGCATTCAGTTGATATTAACAGCATTCGCAACTTAAATCAGGATTTAACCATTAATCGAATTACCTGCTGGAAGCGAAGATTACAATAATTCTCATACACTGATCGTTTGGGTGTCGAAATATACGAAAAGTTGACCAAACCTCAAGGTGTTCAGACTAAGCCACGCTGGACCATCTACCCACAAATTTCCGCCGGTTGTTTATGATTTCATACGGAAAGCAATACCAATATCTCGCGCCACAGTAATGCAAGGATTGCACTGGTGAAGCGGTAATGTTTCACTTATAGTGCTTCATATAAGGGTCTATGTTCATTTTTTGGCTCACTGCACTCTGCTACCGAACTAGGGATCCAATACGGGGTTTTGAAGCTGATCAGGTGCACTAGACGCAAGTCACCGATATGCAGCTCTTAGCCAGCCGACATTACTATGCTTTCTTGAGCCTAGAATAGTTCCAGCTAGATGTTAACAGAACCAAGTTTCTACTGGTTTGTCATCAGCAGACCGGCAAGCTGAGAGAATGTATTCCAGCTTGCTTTTATCCGACAATTTCTTCACCTATTTTAGTTGCATGCTATCAAACATTGTCATGTGGACAATGTGCATCAATTTGACTCCTTGAATAAGGAAAATGGAAAACAAAAAGTCAAATGTGACTAGCTTTTCCCGAAAGTGCCATGAAACGATAATCGTTTAGGATGACATCGGACATTGAAATCGATCCATGCAGCAGCCGGACAACGCCGGCCGACACGTCACATTCATATGTAGAGGGTTGCTCCGTTTCACTCATCCATCTTCCTTCACCTGCTATACGCATGGGATAGCCACATTGTGAACTAATCCATTCAGGCCTGATGTGTGAATTCAAAGGCTATAGCGTACAGTGCTGCCGCCTGCGGGGTGATCGTGCATTGAGTTATCAGATACTGGAACACCCTAGTTACCTTCTCCACTTTCTGCACAGAAGCCACAATGTTGCCACTTAAAGCTAGCAGTTGAATGAAGTAGGTTGAAATGTGACCGCAAGCAGTCCCTCTCCGAGTCTTAGCTGAGGAACTCTCTCCCGATTTACACCAAATTAGCGCACATTTTATCGAAATTTACGCACTGTTTTGACTATGCCTAAAGTCGTGATGTAAATACGCAAGGGATAGAATATAAGTGAACAACGTGGTCACTAGCCTGTCAATAAACACCGCATAGAGGCAACTACATTTATGTATCGCATGTGCACAATGAGTTTACAGAGGCGGTGTCTGTTTTACTTGCTGTGCTACTTATTGATTATGCGGTCCTAATCCAAATCATACTACGGCGTTGCAATCTCTCAGATATTTCTTCACCTGTTAAATTGTTATCGAGTTGTTCCTTCATTATTCCCCATTGGCAATCTGGCAGCATTTACCATTGTCAAAAGGCTGTTTCTCTCCCGTTAGTTCGACGTTAACACAAACACCACCCACATAAACCATACGGTATAGGCGCAGGCGGAACACTTATATCTCAACAACTTGTGCAGTTTTACCCAATCTCCTGGTGAGTATAATCGATACGCTGGGTTTTTATGCCACAACAAGGTGTTGCAGTTTAATGATCTTACGTTTCAGATATTATGTTTCGGATAATCCGCTGTGCGTTTTCTTTGCAACTCGCAATCACCGCGATTGTTATCTGAAAGGAAGAGCTTGTAACTTTGCTCTACCAAAGCATCACTCCTTAACAGATTCATCCCTGTTTGGACTCCTTTGTTTGTGTAACGGCGTGTTACCTATAAAGTTGAACATGCAAACGCTTATCCGACCGCAACTTGCTCTGGTTGATTGGCATCGGAAAGTGTCTGCATGTCACTCAGTTTACAAGCACTGCTAAAATGACAGACAGTATTCCCTAATTAGAATAGCACTGTAACGCAACCAAAGAGGCTAGCCTACTATTGAGAGTGCATCACGTGCTGCTGTGTGTGTGTATTTCAGGGCAGTTCATCATGTCCAGAGGGATCAAAGCGATGCACCAAAGTTGGCATCCAGAGTGCCTAACATGCGAATTCTGTGGTCTCCCACTGGTGGCAGCGGGACTTCAAAAGTTTCAAAACAAGTGAGTTACCTTGACTACACCAATTCACATTTGCAAATCCTAATCGCAAGCGATGGCAGGACGTTAGATTCGCACAGCAGCTCAATCGTTTGGACAGAGAAAAAGCGCAAATAAAAGTAGGTGAGGAATACGTTTGTTGCTGAAACCTACAATCTCACCAGGCCGACGGGCACCCGAAGAACAGGTATTATAGGAAAGAACGTTTCCGTTGAGCCTGAAGCAGTGCTCGGGTCACCTTCCAGATGTGTGTGAATATAGACAAAGGTATTCAAAAATGCGACAGACCAACTGCTTCATGATCTTGGGTAAAAAATGAACTACAACTTTATAATAGCTTGCACATCATGCGACAATGGTGCATGAATATTTCCGGGTCACTATAGTAGTCCTACCTTGCATCAACAAAGTTGGTGGCTGTTTGAAATTGCTTGTGGCTGCACTTCTCAAGCGACCGCATCAAAATGTTTATCGACCGACATAAAAGTCGAATTGCACAGTCTCAAGTGTATACTTTCGAATCATATCGGTAAAAATTAATCATAGAAGATTGCGGAAAGTGCTAAAACCATTAAACTGTTTCTTCCAATGGTTCTCCAGCTCTACTCTGGTTATGAAATAGATAACTCATAACTTTCGCGACTAGGACGGTAATATAAGCTGTGACAAACCAATAGTTGACCCACAAATTCCACCAGATAGACTATCTTATGTGAAAACTTCAAAAGCACCTAAGGACCTAATCGGATTGCAGTTGAAATGTCGCCCTGTCACGACAATCTGTCGTCCGCAGGCAGTGCACTGATTACCCGTCACAATCTTACAGCCAATTGTACATGTTGTGCCTAGAGAAACCCATGATGCTCCACAACTAACTGAGTTAAAACATCAAGTTGATGTAAAAGAAAGAAGCCTGCAACTATCAACCAATTTCTTGGAGGCTGTTTGCTTTGAAGGATGTTGAGAAGCTTATTCTTGGGGAAATGTTGGACTGTATATACTTAGACGTCCCATATTAAGTTGTATATCGAGGCTCAAGTTGCATTTTATTTACAATAGCTTGCCAGGTGCATTCTGCAATAACAAAGACGAATCCATGAGTAGCTCCTTCCTGGACAACGATGAGGCTTTCGTTTGCATTAACCGTGAACTGCTGTTAAGTGACTCTCTGTTTTGGAGTCCAAATTTCTGAGTCATTTTGAAGTTCTGATTAAATGAATGAATTGCGAAGCGTACCCTCATGTTGTAATTCGGCCAAAAGCGTGCGTTATTTGTCTTTGAACCACAGCCAAATCCATCCGGATGTTACAAGCACCGAAGACCTGGCGCTGCTAGCTAACCACCAGTGAACTTGGTCTGCGCTAGAAAAGGAGGCGTTTCTGTCCTAAATCTTTAATAGCCGAGAAGTTGGCGCTGCATCCGATTTCTCTGCCGATTGATGGAATGCATTAAGAAACTGTTGCAAGATTTGTGTTGGAATATCACTTGAGCAGATGGACGCCCCTCATGATAACTGCTCCGCTTGTCCATTTATACACGCGACCTCACCATGAGCTCTCTCAATTAGCCACCAAGTTCTCTTTACTAACTAGCCACACCACACTTTTTCAATAACAATGGTCTGATTTCACCCCTCTCAACGTGCGGTTTCCATCTCATTGCCCATCAAGCCGACTGTACTCACTCCGAATGTCAGCAGACATGACATACGTTATATTGACATAGGCCGCAGACAGCTCGCCGTCCCATCGTCCAGTCTAACAATGTCATCCGTTTTACCATACGGAACCACACCACTTATCGATTTGGATGAGGCATATACATGTAACGACGGTAAGCCAGCAACACTTACCAGGTACCTTGAGACTGAAAACGCAATCGACCAAGCTACCTTTCCACTTCTCCTGGCAGAAGCGAAAGGAACACTGGCTAAATGCACTTCACAGACTTAACAACGTAAAGTTGCCTTGCGAACAATTATTGAAGGCTTTTAATCAATTATAGCGTCATGAAAATAGTATACTTACACGTGACCTCCCGTAAACACGGAGAACCGGTATCCACAGTCACCACTTGCCTCCGAGGATGATGACTTCAATATGGCCACAAACAGCGCGTTCATCACCTGCGACGGAAAGATGAAGCCACGATATTACTATACTGTCAATGCTGGGTGAAGAGGCGATCACAAGCCTCAACAGCTTCTGCCTGGACGTGCTCTCGTACCCCCAATACCTGATAACCAGGCACCACATGAATGTGTCATTCTTAACTGTAATCTCATAAAACTTCTCACAGTTGGGAGATGATTTCTGCATTGTGAGCAATGGAGGGATCCGCACCCGCTTTAGACCATATCCCGCCAAAGTACATCAGTCAAAATGGCTCCAAAATTCGCATCATGGACTTGTTTATTAACCTGTTCCTTTTCACTAATATGCAAGCGGTCAGTATGAAATTTTCTCTCAAAATTCCTTGCCATTCCCACTATGACGTTTTTGCCCGATTAACGTAAATGCAGTCTCCTCTAGTCTTGTTTATTGAATTTTCTTCCTCTGTTGAATACCTGCTTTTTCGTCGGACCAAGTTTCCTTTGGTTTGCTTTATAACTTGTGCTGGATTGAAGCCTCACAATATTACACTCTGCCATAAGATTTGCACACTTGAACTGTATCCAGTTATCCATCGCTTTTGTTAACATTTCAAAAACCTTTGGTCCCATCTCCTCTTATTTTGTGCTTCGTGCAGGCTGCTCTTTGGGTACCCCTTCTTTTCTTTTGCATTACCTAGAGTTTTACTATACTTAGG